CTAAAAGGACGATATCTTTCTCAATCAAGTGTTTTCAGTAACATAATTATACAGAATGTATTGCTACAACATCTATGAAATAGAGAACATGTTGCTATGACACAATGACGCACACAATGCATGTCTGTAGGTTTAAATCGGCCCCCCAGTGGCACAGCGGTATGTCTGCGGACTTACAATGCTAGAAACCGGGTTTCGATACCCGTGGTGGGCAGAGCACAGATAGCCAGTTGTGTAGCTTTGTGCATAACTTCAAACAAACAAACAGGTTTAAATCGCCCTAAAAATGGCGATATCATGCAATAAATAAAAGTTATGCTTTATACAACATGTAAATAAAACGTTTATTATGTAATAACACTTTTACTAGTTTAACATTTTATACAACAAAATAATTTACACATGGCAATTTATCTCATGTTTTACAAAGGGGGACTTTCACATATGTATATAGTTAATTACCATTACTTTAACAACTGTCCATAAGATTTTAACAAATATTCTGTGACAGTACTTCTACAAGTCATCAGTGTCAAAAACATTATTTAACGTAACATGTTTGAATGATATTACAACTTACATTTTACTACATATGATTAATTACTATTACATAGTAACAACATTTATCATGAATCTTTGAGGACCACATTAGTGATGTAACATGTTCAAAACGCAGTCTAATCTGTGTTCTTTATAATTTGCGTCAATAAAAGCATACAATCATGAAACACACATACAGATTTCTACATGTAGTTTTTATTGTTCCTTCACAAGATTAACGAACCCGTATCTGATGTCAAACCTTGATACTGTTTAACATTACTTCACATGCATATAGAGAGTTATCGTAAGAACAATGACTAGACATGTAAAGCTTTCTTTAACTCAACACACACACACAGCTTACCAAGTCTGACTCATTGAATATCACTGACAGACTAGGTTAAAAAAATATACAAGTTAGAAAAACCATAAGTTGAATAAGTCTATGTGGTTTGCGAAGTAAGTACTGTGTTGCAATGTAGAAGCAGAGCAGAATTCAAAGAAATAAAAGTAAAGCGTAAATCAGCCGTGAACTTTACTTACAGTTTAAAACTGACCTTCAATATACAAATCAAGACTTCTAAAGTGTCACCCATACTCAAATATTAGGGAATATTTAAATGTTTACTCATATGACGGAGTAAATAAAACAAATATATTACACATATGTAGACAGGGAACACACCAAAAACAAGTATTTTGATCATTTATATAAAATTTACAAACAAACTGTGCGCCCCTTGTGATAAAAATTAGGACTATGATACACACGTGTGGCGCTATCTGGTGGCAAACATTGTAACTATGACCTCGTCATCTTTGGCGACATCACCCCCTCCTCTCCCGAGGCAGCCAATCAGTGTATGTGTCCTAAGTGGGGCCCTTACTACTTTTGTTTTATTGAAGTTCTTTGGTTAATGCTTAAAAATACCAATTTTAATGTTAAACAAAGCACAGACGTTGAATATGTGTGTAAATCCATGTAACGCACAACTTTAACTATATCCGAGTCACGGCAATAAAAAATATTAATTCAGATAATTCTTCCTATGTTCTATGATTTTTAGATAACGATAATTACTTAATAGGTTTTAACTTACTCTTATTTAACGATTTCATATCTAAATTTCCTATCTGCTCAAAGATATAAGTTTTGTACTTTGTAGTACTAATATTCTTCACTAGTATATTTACGATACACAGTCATTTCCAACTATGCTATGTCCTACTTTGCATCACAACTGAAATATAAAAAAAGAACAGTCAAATAATATACCAGTCTATGTTTGAATGATGAGTGATTTTTGTCTTTGAACATCCTTGGAGTTTTCTCCACCCGAAACTATCTCACCAAAGGGAGAGAGTGTCAAGATGGCACTTTAATCAGTCTTTAGAAATATTCATAATAAACGTTATTTACAAAGTGGGGAAAAGGTGAGTATATTTATAACATAGTTTAATTTCTAACGTTTTACTCTGGGACAAATATTAATTAAATTGAACTCGTTTGTCTCGTAATATTTTCTTTAGTACCAACAGTATAATACCAACTGCATAATAACTTTCATACCTCTCCAACCATATAGTAACCTTTGCCTCCCCCCCCCTCAACTGTATACTAACTTTTGCCCCATCCTGTATGTAACTCCAATTTAAGTATTGAATTGTTTAATCACACTAAAGTCATAAAAACATTTTTTCTCAGTTTGACTAGCTTCCGATGGTACCTATTTTTAAAATGATATCATGAAATAATAATGCTAACAAATGAAAAACCTACGCTTCTGATTTGACATCTGGACAAGTTTCATCGTCACTGTGCTCAGGTTGTGATCTCTCTGAGCCCATGTAGTCTGACGGACCAGAAGTAATTCTAGAAATAAATGCCAAGATGGCTGTTTTTTACTTTCTATAAATACAACAAAGTAAGAACCCTTATTGATGCTAGTTAAAATAAAAGATACAAACAGATAAATGTTATTATACAAAACACTCTACCAATTTAAAAGTTGAAATAAATAATTGTTTACTAGATAATGCTATTAGTAAATAAGTTGAAAATAGCAAATAGATATTACAAACACATTGTATATTAAAACAAAACTACACCCGAGTTTATTTGCATCGACAGGTGCTTTTGAAAAAAAAAGAGATAAATCCTTTAATCCAAAGATATTACATCACTAAAAAATCTATAATGAATTTACAACATTATTTAATTCTTTAAAATGATAATAACTATGATCGGAAAAGTTATAATTAATTTTTTAAAACACAAATTAGGGTTGTTTGTGTATTTTTGTACTACAGAGGGTTGAGTATTATTTAGTGTGTTATATTGAAACGATTTTAATTATGCAAATCAGCAAGCCACGTGACAACCACACCCGATATAAATCCGCGATGGAACAACATGTATTAATTTTTACAATGTTTTAGGGAGGGTATATAACAACCCTTTCCAACGCAAAATATTCATACATTCAGATCATAAAGATGTGTTCAGATTAGGAATTTCCAAGATAAATAATTCCTTTTTACTTTATGAGGTTGAAAAACAAAGGAATATGAATAAAGTTAAGTCGTGGTTCTCAGGACCATCCAGAAAGAGGTCTGAAACAAGTCGTACCCCACAGTAGTAAACAAATCATGTGAGAATCCACAAACATAAAGTTCATGACAAAAACTGTCCACGTCGCCTGAGCAACAGTACGCCACATAATCAAGAATCAAGTCGCGTGTACACAAGTTCTTTCCTTGACATATCTAAAGAATTAATCAGGTATTCATGCTAATCCACACGAAGACATACCTGTGAAGCCGCATAACTACAATGGATTTCTGTGTGATATGATCATTGAAGTGGGCGCTAGGAAACCGTTGCCCTGATACACTACGTGGATTATGGAAAGCGCGCATAGAGTGTGTTGCGCTTTGAACATGACAGTTTTATAATGCAACCTTGTGCAACAAAAACTTCACTGCATGACTGGAAGTGACTAGATGATCTATAATGACGAGGTGAGGCTCTAAAATAGTATAATACATCAAAACTCTGAAAATAGGCAATAACACAAAACTCTTTATATCCAATACCTGCAATTAAGATGCAACTTTCAAATAACCAAATTACTTGAACTTAGCATTTCCATAAGCACCCTGTCATAAGTATAAAATGAAAAAATAAATCCAAACAAATAGCATTTACATTATACATTGTAAAATAAACTTTAAAAACTTGCTTCCTTAACTTATAGTCTCCTGGTGGCTCGGCCATAAGTTTCAGAGTTTGTAAAGCTCGAATTGAAATTTGGATTTCCATAATGGACAAAGCGCAAATAACCCATTGATAGCTATACTTAATATTTGCCACATGTAAAGCCTTTTTTAGAGGAGAAGAAATAATTACCTTTCTTTGGAATACGGCAAGGTAGTAGGAGGTAGCTGTAATGTAGTTTTCGTTTCGTCGATTTCTGGCCAGGATTTGAAATAAGAAGGCAAATGCCAAGAGACACGAGATTTTTCACTGTTCAGGTTGTCTAACTCTGACTCCCAGGTAAAAGACTGGTATGGATAGGGGCTGGTGAATGGTAAAAGTTCTTTCATTTTAAATTTTTTGTGCATTCCTGCGTCTTCAGGTATCACCTACAGAGTAAAATACGACATTATCACGTGCATATTCAGAGTCAGAGTACACTCAAACCTCATTCGTTGAGACTACTTTTCAGTGAATGTAGTAAATAAAATAAAATCATAAATAAGTTTAGTTCCCTATTCAGATATGCTATAGTTTATCAAATTCTACGACATTGTTTCAGTTTGAATTTTGATTTTGTGTCTATTTTACTTACGTTAAATAACATTTAAAGTATACGTAGCATGAATATACTAATTTATTTCTAATGAAAAACATATATACAAATACATGGATGTCACCATATTTTATTATAGAGGCTCGTTTGTGTTTTTTGGTGCATCTTTCTTATATGCGTGTACACGTGTCAAAGCAAGAACTCGATCATGAACAAACTATGTTGAAATATATATTCATGTAAGGTTTAAAAATAACTATATATTACCTACTCATTACTTAACTGAAGTTTACGCGTAGGTCATAATTATACATATGTAAATTCCTTTTTAACAATTAATTTACACCTTATTACATAATATCAGGAAGACGTTTGAAAACATGGTGCTTAAGATGTTGGTTTCGAGATAAACATACAGGGACATTTATTTCTTTAAGACTGATCTTGCACGTCCACCATTCAGAAAAGTAAAAACTTTAACCCCACCCAATAATTTTTCATAATTATCTACTGCTGGACGGTAACTCATTCCATAAGTTAATCATCTTCTTAGCAAAATGTCTTTACTGAAGCCTAGCTTGTCTTTTTCCAAATCTTAAACTTGTATCCTTTGGTCCTAAAGTCTTCAGAATACAAAGAAAAAAATCGGAGATCTTTATCTTATCGATTACCTGGATAACCTTGTAAGCTTCAATGATATCACCACTAACCCTTCTTTTCTTAATCTATATAAATATAATAGTACTGTCTGTTGTACGTCCATGTAACTACTTAGCAGGGTGTGAATGGATCTTCACCAAAATTGGTATGGAGGTTCATTATGTCCATGTGAGGATACATACAAATTGTCAATTTAGCATTTTGCGGTTTTTATGGGCGTTTTTTACCACTACTTCACCCCCTGTAGATGGACCTTCACCAAATTAGGTGTGGAGGTTTGTTAAGTCCGTGTGGAGATACATGTAAAGATGCGG